CTTAGACATGGAAGCCAGTTGAATGACTTTGGGCCAATCACCAGGAGACGGTGAGTTCTAGTCCCGCCTTAGGCATGGAAGCCAGTTGAATGACTTTGGGCCAATCACCAGGAGACGGTGAGTTCTAGTCCCGCCTTAGGCATGGAAGCCAGTTGAATGACTTTGGGCCAATCACCAGGAGACGGTGAGTTCTAGTCCCGCCTTAGGCATGGAAGCCAGTTGAATGACTTTGGCCCAATCACCAGGAGACGGTGAGTTCTGCCTTAGGCATGAAAGCCGGCTGGGTGACTTTGGCCCAATCACCAGGAGACAATGAATTCTAGTCCCGCCTTAGGCATGAAAGCCAATTGGGTGACTTTGGGCCAATTACCAGGAGACAGTGAGTTCTAGTCCCACTTACGCGTGCAAGCCAGTTGAATCACTTTGGGCCAATCAGCAGAGACGGTGAGTTCTAGTCCCACCTTAGGCATGAAAGCCGGCTGGGTGACTAGGAGACGGTGAGTCCTAGTCCAACTTTAGGCATAAAAGTTGGGCCAGTCCCTCTCTCTCAGTCCAACCCACTTCACAAGGTTGTTGTAGGAAAAATAGAAGGAGGAATCTGTGTTGGATATATTCGCTGCCTTGAGTTATTTGTAAAAATAATAATGGCAGGATACAAACATATAAATTAAAAATAACTTCAACTAGAGGCTCCTTATATGCTTTGTGTTTTTTGGGGGGCAGAGGATATTTTCCATGGCTCCAGTGCTTCTTCTCAGATTTATTTGTCGTAGCTCAGCCACAGGAAAGCAAGGCCCCCCCCAGCCTCCCCCCAAATCAGCACAATCCATTAAAGCAGTGGTTCTCAACCTTTTTAATGCCGTGACCCCCAACCGGTCGTAAGTCGAGGACTAAACCGGTCATAAGTCGAGGACTAAACCGGTCATAAGTCGAGGACTAAACCGGTCGTAAGTCGAGGACTACCCAACCGGTCGTAAGTCGAGGACTTTCCCTGCCTGGGAGAGCCGCGCATGCGTGGTTCCGCCCCCTGCGCCGGCCGAGGCGTAGCTGGCAAGCGGCAGAGACGGAGCAGGCCGACCACCAGCTGGCCCAGCCCAAGGGAGGTAAGGCACCCGCCGGAAAAGGGGAAACAAAATGGCGGACAAAAAAAATGGCGGACAAAAAAAAATGGCGGACAGCCTTGCTTGGCGACCCCCGTGAAATGGTCGATCGGCCCCAAATGGGGTCCCGACCCACAGGTTGAGAACCGCTGCATTAAAGACATCACTACTTTTGTGCAAAAAGGAAGGGAGGTCAACTCCCTCTCCTCGTGGCGTGCCACTGAACCCCCAGCAGGTGGCAGCCGACACCGGCCAATTTTTTTTACAAAAACTTGTGCTAAAGGGAACCAACGTGATACTCGCTCCAGAGAAAGAATCATTTATTGTAATTTGCGAGTCCCGCAGGAAACTTACTCTCTGGAGTAACACGCTCCTCTGGAGCTGGTTCCTCGGCTCCCTGTACGGAAGCGTACCCCGATGAGGCGGTCTCGCTGTGATTATCTTCTTCATTAACTGAAGGGACATTAGAGGCTTCACTGGGGGCAGGGGGCGTTTGAGCAGGCTCTCCTTGGTCTTCCACATCCACCTGCGTCAACGTAGAATTTCACGGGAAGAAACGGATTAGCAAAATAAAGTTATTTCCGCAAAGCTACAAGCTACCTCCTTGCCGCCTACGTTTACTGTAGGCTTCTTCCCAAGGGATTTTGATCGCCTTTCAAAGATGATTAATTAAGACAACATCTTAAGGGGGCAAACTTATTTTGCACGGCTAAGTCAGCTTGGAAACACGTAGGGAGGATGTTCACGGAAACTATTACAGGCTTCGTCCTTGTAAACTGGCTAAAAATGTCTTTTCAAGTGGGTTGTGGCATTGCAATTATTTTCTAGAGCAGTGATGGCGAACCTTTTAGAGACCGAGAGCCCAAAAACGCCCCGCCCCTGCCCCGCCTCTCCTGCCCGCAGGGCCACCCACCACCTCCATAGCCCACCACAGCAGATTGCCCAGGCAGCCCAGCAAGTGTCACGGTGGCCAGGCCCTCTGTCTGCGCCTCGCGGCATCTGTATGCAATGGGGCGCGAGGGCGGAGTCTTGCCCCGCTGCCCAGCTACCATGTCCTTGGCAGGCTGCGTCCGGGGCAACTCTCGGGGGTTGCTGGTGAGGAGGGGGCCACGGGGGTGGCGGGGCTGGGGCGACGTGCGTGCCCACAGAGAGGGCTCTGAGTGCCACCTCTGGCACCCGTGCCATAGGTTCGCCACCACTGTTCTAGAGCAAATCCAGTTAACAGCAAAAAGCAGATCATGAGAAACGTAACTGCAGCCGCTCTTAGTTTACCTCAATTCCCAAAGCCTTGAGTATGTCGCATTTACACATGGGACAAGTCCTATGCTCTAGCAGCCAGGGATCGATACAGCTCTTGTGAAACAGATGACTGGAAAAAAAAAGAAAAAAAAGAAGAATTTATAATATGACTCAACAGGTCAGAGCAACAGTTGCTATTTTTTTAAATATATAATTGATTTGGTTCTCACATTGTATTATATTTTGCTTATATATCACATTACGCTATGTTTTGCTTTCTTGGGGTCTGCTGAATCAATCACCAGTAGATCTGCTCACCTATCATATAGGAATATTCCAAACCAGAATACTGGTGTACTTTGGTTTTGCCTTGTCGTCTTTTAATTTCAACTACGGTTTAAAAAGGCACAGAGCTTTTATCGCCATTCAACAGTTAAATAGGGAGGTCTCGGTATGCACTCTGCTTGTAGGAATATTGCTATGCAATTATTTTTAGGAACCTAATAAAATGTTAAGATCTTGAATTTAAGTCTGGAGTTACTTAGAACATAGTCATATAGATTTATATATTTTTTTAAACAGGTTTAAATGGTAATCCAAAGCTAAATGCAATTATTACATTGCAGACCAGAGTTGTCCAACTTTGGCAAATTTAAGACATGCGAACTTCAAATCCCAGAATTCTCCATATTGGCAGGGGAATTCTGGGAGTTGAAGTCCACGAGTCATAAAAGAGCCAAGGTTGCCTACCCCGGGTCTAGACTGTTCTATTACACTTGAACTCATCTGATAAGTGTTGTTTCAGCCAACCAACTATGGATTACGAGAAACAAAGCGGAACCAGTGAAAATAGCTTCCCAGGAACACAGAGGAAGAGAAGACAAGAACGAGTTGAGGAGGGGAAAAAAAAAAAAGGAATCAACCTACTTGCAAGTTAAAATTCGGACAATATCATTTGCTTTGTATGCTTCAATGCACACAGCACAGTTATCTGCATCAGGGCCGGTTTCCTTTAAAAAAGAAGGGAAAGAAAACATGTCTTCTTGTGTTCAGCTAACAGGAGAACATCCAACAATTCCAGGGATTGGGATTCAGCTGACCCCCCCTCGAATTGGACGGTCCAGAAGCCCAAAATGCTGTTTTACCACACTAAGCTAACAAGGATGGATTCCAGAGAACCATCTGGAGGCAAGGTGTTACGAGTAATGGGATCTACAGAAATGTACAGGCAACAGCTGAACACAGGAACAGCAGTAATCTAGGTGAGATGGGTCGCATGCAAGTCCAACGAATAAACACACCCTATGTTTTTATTTTGCTATGCCTCCGGAATTTCTCTCCATTTTCAAATAACAAAAATAAAAGATAAATCTGGAGCCAATATGTAACCTTCCCCCACCCCCCAAATTAACCGGGTGTAATCGGTTTAAATGAGCCACATCTTCTGGACAAACTTCTACGAAACCGTTGTTTAAATCAACACCCCGAATTAAGTTCTCTCTTTTTACACCGACTTGTTATGAAAACACCGAAGGAGCTAAGCTGGAAGATTCAAACTGGCCCAGATTAACAGGCAATTTTGCAACATTATAGGGCATAAACCAACCAACCAACCAACCAACCAACCAACCAACCAACCAACCAAACCAACCAACCAAACCAACCAACCAACCAACCAACCAACCAACCAACCAACCAACTAGGGATATAGTTATTTTCTGGATCGGTAACAAGAACAGGCTGGGAGGGTGTTTTGTTTTTTTCCAGGACGGTGCAACCTGCAGGCAAAGAGGATGAATTTGGTCGTACCTCGTCTCCCTGTTTTAATGTTCGCAATTGTAGCTGCCCAATTGCCTTCCTGGCATCCGCTTTCAGCCGTCTCTGTAACAGACAAGCACTGTATCAAGGCATGAACTGGTTCTCCTGAACAAGGTTGAAATACCAACTGCTACACAATTAACAATGGGTGAGGGTGTTTCTTTAGACAGATGGAGCAAACCTGCCTAGGAGTATGAGCCAGGACCTAATTATAAGTCAAGGGTCACAGGTATGTGGTTTTGAAGTGTTTACTTGGCGTGCACAAAAATATTACATAGTTTATTCAGAGGGGTTTTTAAGCCAAACGGGAAACATTCCAGTGGAAATTCCCAAATGCCAGCTGAATTGTTTTTAGATGACTGATTAAGGCTAAAAGGAGGTTCTCCAATGAAAAACCGCGCCTCCAAAGTTCCTTCACATTAACTGCCCAGAAGATGGATGCAAAAATGAAAGAAGCTCGTTTCAGATGGCGTTCTGCAAATTTCTGCCACGTTTCAGTCAAATCATACACCGCTTTGAACTGGCCTTGGCCAATTTCTTTCCTTAGGAATGAAGAGAATGCACATATGCTTAACCTAATCTGGCTAGCAGTAGTTCATTTTTCTTGCAGGCGTGACCGACGTGGTAGTAAAGCTATATTCTTTGTTTTTAATCTTACTGATTAAAAAAAATAAATCTCCCCTTTGATGGCTTTAACAGTGGTATCAAAAGTTTTTCGTTTAGCAGTCATCCGGCGGCACGCATTAGATTAGACCGTCATAGATGTTTAATGATCTTGAAAGATTCACATCCTTTTACGAGGCTATAAATACAGATGAGCTAGCACGCATTCATTTTGCGCTGATACAACTCATTACGCTTCGCCAAATTAATTTTAGTTTGGATGGAAGAAGCAAGCCAAAGGTTGTAATTATATACTGGAAGAACCTGAACTGCCTATAAGATGCCAAGCCAGCTATGCATGGGAAAAACTATAAGGAGGTTCACACCAGGTTTTGCTTCAAGCGTTTTGGAGGCGACGCGTCTTGGGAAACTCTTAAAGGATATTGCTGGAGCTATCTCTGATTTAAAAAAAAAAAATCCATAAAAGTATTCCAAGAATTTATTTACTCACCTTGGAAAACAGCTGTTCACTCAAAGCTGAAATGATCTAGAAAAGTATACCTTTTGAGTTACTGATTTTTACTGGCTGCGACGAGACTCAACTAGAATCAGACTGGCCCGTTTTTAAAATAAAAATTAAAAAAATCAAACCCAGTACGAATTCCACAAATTCCTCCGAAATCAAGAAATGCATTATATGATTAAGTTATGTCCCCAGATGTACACTAATACCTTGGTGGTTTCTACTTCGCATGGATGCATTTGTCAGAGGGGTGCTTAAATGCTGATAATTTTGATAGGCGTTTATAAAGTCTAATTGTTCAAAAGTCTGCCCACAGCCTGGAGTTCGATCCTGACGGGGTTCAAGGGGGATTCAGCCTGCCATCCTTCCGAGGTCAGTAAAATGAGGACCCAGATTGAGGGGGGGGGAGCAATATGGCTTACATTATAAACAGCTCAGAGAGTGCTGTAAAGCACTATAGGGCAGTTATATAAGCCTAGGTCAGGGGTAGGCAACCTTGGCTGGCTCAGGAATTCTGGGAGTTGAAGTCCACGAGTCATAAAAGAGCCAAGGTTGCCTACCCCGGTCTAGGTGCTATTGCTATTGCTAAATCCTAGAGAAAGAAGAATACTTATAAGAGAAAGAACCATATTTGCTAAAAAAAACGAAGCCATTTTGTCAACAGGTGGTATAGAACAAAGGGGGGGGGGGGAAAAACTCACCTGTCTCCTGTTCTGGGCCCTTGCAACTCTAAGCCTTCTAGCGGAATAAAATATGAAGTATCCCACTGTGGCGGCTGTGACTATGAAGAAGGACACCGAAACGAAGAAAATGGAATAATTATTCATCCACGATCCGTGCTTTTTCCCTACTTCGATAGCCATGGTCACTTGGTAGCCCTTTTCAATCTTCTGAAGGATCTCTCTGCCTTTGGCGTAGCTAATCATGATGGCCACCATGTTTCCCGTACCTGTCGAAGAAAAAGACGGGAGGGTTATTTATCGTTGCAAATGGGACTGCTGAGCTTTGAGTAGTCGACATGCTGCTTGTGGGGTCCCTGGTGCTCTCTGAGCTTGGTGGCTTTCTTGCAGATGTTTCATTACCCAGCTAGATAACATCCCCTGTGCTAGAACCCCTGTCTTTTCTAGCCCTGATGAGGTTACTAAGTGGGGTGATGAAACGTCTGCAAGAAAACTGCCAAGCTCAGAGTGCATCAGGCCCTCCTCCTCCTCCCTCCTCTTCCTCCTCCACTCCACAAAACTCCAATCCCTTCTAGCACTGATGATATTACCTAGTTGGGTAACAAAATGTCTCAAGAATACCACCAACTTCAAGAGCACTAAGGAGCCCATCGTTCAACCTTGAGCTACAAATATTCTCTTCTATAGGCCACATGTTATTTATATATTTATTGGGTTGATATCACTGTTTATCTCCCCAAAATGACTTTACCCACTCAACAGACCCCATTAACCGCCATTTGTGAAGCCTGCTCGCAAGAAGAACCCAAGGGATGGTCCAAAAGCGAACTTTTGGAGTTTTGTTTAGCTGCCACCACCAAGAGGAGGAAGGAAGTCCACCTCCTAGGCGTGGCTTCAATGTCCCTGGCACAACGCTCCAATGTGGACATTCATGATGGCCAATGCAAACTCTTCCAGGATGGGAGAGTCAAGAGGAAACGAGGAGTGCTTTCATCACTGCAACTCTGCTTACACTGGCACTTCAAAGTTGAGCAATTATTCAGGGTTTGTTATTCCGGTTTGGTTTTTTTTCCTCTGTGGTGGTTGTCGTCGTAATTTGCTTGCCTACAAACTCTTGTATGTGTCCTATGTACCTGTTGGCCAACAAGGACACTTTTGAGAGAAACAACAGGGCGTGGGGGCGTGCGGTCCCAACTCCTCCTCGTCAGCCCATCTTGCCAGATCCGCATTGCAACGCAAGATGCAACTTGCACACTCTCTGTTTTGTTCCCAGTCTGTTGACGGGAAGGTGGAGTCCACAAGACGTTTTGCACGTTCGCCAGAATTAGAATTTCTAAATGGCACTTACAACATCGGGGAAATCGGCGGGTTGGATTATGGACCCATAGTATAAAAATATTCAGCAGTTTCAATTAATGACGGTGCTTCTATTATTCCAGGGAGACCTGGATTTTCCAAGGCAATCTTGATGGTTAAGAGCTTCACATACCATCAGATTTGGGTTAGTCCTTGACTTACAACAGTTAATTTAGTGACCATTTGAAGTTACAACAGCACTGGAAAAAAAAAGTCATTGGCCGCCCTTTGTCATCCTTAGGACTTACGATCCCCTTGATCAAAATTCAGATGCTTGGTGACTGACTCATATTTATGACGATTGTGGGGTTATGTGATCCCCTTTTGCGACCATCTGGCAAGCAAAGTCAATGGGGGGAAGCCAGATTCACTTAACAACTGGGTTACTAACCGAACAACTGCAGTGATTCACTTAACAGCGGTGGGAAGGTCGTAAAATGGGGCAAAACTCACTGTCTCACTTAGCAGCAGAAATTTTGAGCAGGATTGTGGTCGTAAGTTGAGGACTGCCTGTAATTGCTGGTTTCTGTTTTATGCCTCACTTATACCTGAGTAGAATAATCCAAATAGTAGGAACAGGGAATGGACTGTTTGATTTGTAAGGTTTTTCTAGAATATGATTGTATGCCCGCTGCCAACTGTGCAAACTAACTACACCTAGATTAATGCAATTATCTTCCTGGAACATTTAATCACAAGTGTGCCAGTTGTGCTGTGGAACAGATTGCCACCACTGGTGTCAAGCTTCAACTATTTTCCAGGCATCTTATCGAAATTAAGGCATGGGCAAATTAATTTGCACTATCTGCAAGTGTTTCCTCACAAATGGGCAGGAATTATTCAGCCGATTCGGGCTTCTCCTTTGTGTTCCACATCAGATCAAAAACCAACGACTCCAGAGAGACGTTCGACAAATATGAGGGGTCCTTGGTGCTCTCTGAGCGTGGCTATTTTCTTGCTGACGTTTCATTACCCACCTAGGTAACGTCCTCAGTGCTAGAAGGGAGGGTTGAATGGAAGAGAAGAATGGGAAGAGGAGGAGGAGGAGGAGGACTGTGGGGTCCTTGGTGCTCTCTGAGCGTGGCTATTTTCTTGCTGACGTTTCATTACCCACCTAGGTACCATCATCAGCTCTGTTATTTTTCACCCTTCAACTACTCATCGAAAATATAAATAGGAAGCTCTAATCTATTTAAACGGGAACTGATTCTTTCGACAGTACTCTAAAAACATGTGCACAATTAATATAAACTTACACATCTTCGGGACAGGCAGCTGCTATCTATAGCTCATTATAGGAACTGCATTGTTTTCCAAAATCATACAACGGTCGCAGAAGCATCCTCACAACAGCATGTGATCCTGGAAAACGATGCGGCTCTTCCAAAACAAAACCAAAGCATTGTATTGCCGTGGTGGCAACTCAGTGGCTGGTTGGTTCAAAGAAAGGATTGTGTTCATTATTCCCATTTATACGCACTGTCTTCGTGATGAATTAAAATGACAGGATGCCGCCAAAACAGCCCTCAGATGCGGAGAGAAAAGGCAGAAAAGAGAGCAAAAGTGCAAGAGGGATAATTCTGAATCGCGCGATTGTGATGTCTCAGACCTGGCCAAAGAGGGACATAATCTTGAGTCTCAAAGAAGTTTTTTTAATGAAGATTGTTCAATAAATTAAATAAGGAGGGTTTCACTGTACAGATGTGATTGAACCATAGCAGGTGAATTGGCTGTTTGTTAAGCAGGCTTGAGATGTCTTCTAGGCCAGGGGTCTGCAGACTTGACAACTTTAAGACTTGTGGACTTCAGCTGAGGAATTCTGGGAGCTGAAGTCCACAAATCTTAAAAGTTATCAAGGTTGGAGAGACCCTGTTCTAGGCTACTTCTGACTGATCAAGTGAAAAACAAAAGCACTTCTGTTTTTCCCTGAGCTTTTCCAGTTTCTACCTGTAAATTTGGGACTTGTCACTACTTGAAGAAATTTTCCTTTCAAATATTGGCAAATAGGAAAATCTGTGTGTTAGATTTAATGTGTCAACTTTGGGCTCAGTAGGATGAAACTGTCCTTTTTTTTTTCTTTTCTTTTTTTTTATGATGACGGTGCTTATAATTACCAGGACCTACTAAGTTTTCTCATTGGGGAAAAAAAAACTTGAAATAAAAATGGGTGATCAGACGGAAGCTTTGTTCTATCACTCGTACAACAGATCTGAAGTCCAGGCAGTGTGTGGTGCCACACCCTGGGAAGTGTGGAAGTACCAAAAAAAAAAAAAAAAGGCACTTGATCATGACGTTGAAGACCGTATGGTGTTTAAGCCGGTCATTGTTTCCATTATGAGCTCAAGCAAGAGTGTTAAAAATGACTTTTCAAATTAGTGGTAGTTTTAAAGCCTTCTTCTTCCATCCCAGAAGTAGAGGCATGTATGCTTCATAAGAGTCTTCACGGCCATACGGAAGTCAGTTTCCCTTTAGTGTTGATTATATGACGTGTGTTACATGTGTATTTGTTTAATATTTTACTACATTTAGTGTAAGAGAGTTGGAAGGGACCGTGGAGGTCTTTTAGTAGACCCAATACCATTTCAGACAAATGCTTGTCCAACTCTTCTTGAAAATCTCCAGTGATGGAGCACTCACAGCTTCTGGAGGCAATGGTTCCAATGGTTAATTGTTCTGTTGGGAAATTTCTCCTTCGTTCTAGGTTGCTTCTCTCCTTGGTTAGTTTACATCCATTGTTTCTGCCTTTTTGGAGCTTTAGACTGAGTCCCATTTTTGTTATTTTCATAAATAACTCAAGGCCCCTTTCTTATTTTCCCCACAACAATTCTGTGGGTGGAGAGAGAGAGTGACTGACTCAAAGTCACCCATCCGGCTTTCATGCCTAAAGCAGAACTAGAACTCCCAGGCTCCTGATTTCTAGTCTCAGTGCCTTAACCACTAGCCCGAGCTTTAAGAAGAAGTAACTCTCTCATTGCCAAGAAATGTTTTATTTGCACCTCTGATATACAGAGTAGGTTTTATATAAAATGGGAGCGTCACGGCACTTCTTTGACATATTTAAAATTTAGGCCAGAGATATAAAAAGCTTTCTGTTGCAGCTGTTGACTAAGAGGAAGCTGGAAATAACAACTTGCTACAACTGAGGATGGCGAAACCTGCATTGTCACAGTGCTGTCCAGATTACTCAGTGGGTTGCCCTTAATTCATATGCTGGACACATTCAGAAGGTTACTTCATATACAAATATATACTTATATATACTTCATATATAACATGGGTACTGCTGCCTATTTCTCCATTGTTAAAAAAGTTGAGAAATGTTGAGGACATACAACGGTTGGGTCAGTAAGCTTAAACGTCATCAGTAACACCGGTCTGTCTATTACCTATCTACCTGTCTATATATCGGTCTGTCTGTCTATCTGTTACCTGTCTATTTACCTGTCTGTCTGTATAATCTATCTATCTATCTATCTATCTATCTATCTATCTATCTATCTATCTATCTATCTATCTATCTATCTATCTATCTATCCATCCATCCATCCATCCATCCATCCATCCATCCATCTACCCATCCAGCCACCCACCAATCATCTATTGAATTTGTATATCTATCTATCTATCTATCTATCTATCTATCTATCTATCTATCTATCTATCTATCTATCTATCTATCTATCTATCTATCTATCTATCTATCTATCTATCCATCCATCCATCTACCCATCCAGCCACCCACCCATCAATCATCTATTGAATTTGTATATCTATCTATCTATCTATCTATCTATCTATCTATCTATCTATCTATCTATCTATCTATCTATCTATCTATCTATCTATCTATCTATCTATCTATCTATCTATCTATCTATCTATCTATCTATCTATCTATCTATCTATCTATCAT